CTGGGACTTGGAACTGATGTCTGAAGTGGGAGCAGTTTTTGAGACTGAGCCTTACTTAACCTGTGGGGTCTGTGCTAGCTCTGGGTCGCTAGTGTCAGAATCGAATTGAATTGTTGGACACCCAGTTGGAAAAGACACCACGTATTTGGAGTCAGAAGTGTTGTGAGTAATAAATAATAATAATAGCCTGCATGCCCACTCATCTTCTTTCTCCTCCTATTCCTCCATGTCCCTAGGAAATGTTCTGTGAAGGCCAAGTGTGCAAACAGACGTTCCAGAGAGCCTGAGCTGTATCCAGCCACAGAGCCCATGTGTGACTGCAGCTGAACATTGAAATCTATCCCCAAATGAACAAATGTTCGTCTGTCCTGGTTTGGTGATGGGAACTTGTGGTCGGAGAGATGTCCCACAGCCTGTACCAGAAGTCATTTACTCTAACTGGGGCAAAACGGCTCCGTTTCAATAAACCTGTCCAACAATCCTGACTTTTTTTCCTTCTAAATTTAGTGTATCCCATTATTTGAAGAAGTATTTTGAAAGCCTTCTAGGTGCACCATGGACACACCAATGAACAGGATGTAATTCCGTCTTCAAGGTCTAGTGAGGAAATGGATAAAACAAGCATCGGAACCGCAGTGATAAGTACAGACAACTATGAGAACTCAGGAGGGGAAACCTGACTTTTGGGGATGAGCAAGTGGCAGCAGGGGTCAGGGGTAGCGGAGGTGGTCTCCAGGCTCAGAACTGAAGCACAGGTGGGCAGGAAGCATCGGGAAGCATTCCAGGTAAAAGGCTGGGGGTAAGCTGGAGGGATGTTTGAGGAACTGAAAGAATATGTTTGCTGGAGCAGGGGCGAATGTGGATGGAATGGTAAGAGATATCAGAGGAGGCTGGAAGGCAGGCAGGGGCTCTTTCATGAAGAATCTGGAAGACTCTGGCGACAGAGCTAAGATTTATCCCCAAAGTCATAGGAAGATGGTGCCTGGCTCTAAGCAGATCTGCACAGCCAGGTTGGCTCACAGAAAGGAACCCCAACTGCACAGGGGAGAAAGGGCTCTAGGTGGGGGATGCAATTCGGGAGCCAGTTTAGAAAGCACTGCTAGAAATCCCAGCGTGAGGTGGTGATGGTCAGGAGTACCTGGAGCCCAAGTCTCAAATACAGTGAATGGACTCGGGGCTGGAGAGAAAAAGCTAATCATGTAGGACCCAGACTCATAGTCCAAGGTGGTCAATGAGCCATGAGCTGTAGGGATGATGGAAGGGGAGGGGTCAAGGGAGATGCCCTGTTTGGGGTTCAGGCAGCTGTAGGAAGAAAGGCAGGAGCCAATCAGAAGGCAACACAGAAGAATGAGCTCTGGATCTTGAGGGGCCTGTGCCCAGTTTAAGCCAGGCCATCAGGAGAGGATGAGATGATGTGAAGCACATAAACTCTGCATGTGGATGAGACTGTCTGGGACACTGTGTTTATAAGTAATCTCTACGCTCAGGGTGGGCTCGAACTTACAGCCCCAGAATCAAGAGTGGCTTGCTCTACCGACAGAGCCAGCCAGGCGCCCCAGGGACATTGTGCTCCAGGTGAAGAGAGAGAAACCTGAGGCCCAAAGGGGTACATTAGCAGGGGTGGCCAGGGGGGCTGGAGAAACAGGGGGGCATCCAGGAAGCAAAGGCAAGAAACATTTCAGGGTCCAGGGAGTGGTGGGCACTTGCTGAGATGTCCGAGGCAGCAATAAGTCAAGCTGGATGATTCTGCCTCGGTGAGGTTGGTTCAGGGGCAGGGCTGGTTCTGAGCCAGCACGCTGGAGGGTGTGGAAGTAGGGGAGGTGAGCAAGTACAGACAGGGAGCGTTTGGCTGAGAAGCAGAAGGAACGTGGGGATAGTTTCAGGAAGGCCTGCGAGGGAGTGACCAGTTCAGACGGGTGGGACTGCTGGATCACAGAGTCAGCATGGGGTAAGGGAAGTCAGGAGTGCCCACGGTGAGCTAGGCTCTAAGCTGGGCTTTAGGGGCTCTCTGGACAACAGCTGAGGAAAGGTCTATGCCTGAAAGGAGCTTATAGACTCTAGAAAGTGACAGAATTCAAGAGGAAATTAAAGTCTGAGCATCAGATCTAACTCTTGTTTCAACTAACAGAAACCGACTTGTTTGACCTTAGCAGCAGTGACTTTAGAGCCAGAGAAAGTCAGAGGGCAATTGTGGGTCCAATTAGATATGGTGACCCCAAACAGAAAGACTATGAAATTGTTTCAGGGTCGAATCAGGTAGTAAGTGGATTAGCTGAGCTGGCAGATGGACACCTGATTTGAGAATTATGTGGTGAGTAATCTTTCTTTTCTTTTTGGTGCAAAATGGTGGTTTACTAAAGCCCAGGGACCGGACCTGTGGGCAGAAAAAGCTGCAGCACTGGGGTCTCGAGGAGTGGTGATTACATAGTCAGGACTTGGAGGAAGTAAGGAAAAGGGAGGTTTCAAAAGAACTTTCATATGCTAAAGAGGACCGACCTACAAGATACCAGAGGCCTTAACATTGTCAAGGTAAGGTTGTTTTCCCCTCTAGCAAGGTATTAACATTAAGATAGTTGGGACATCCCTGGAAGAATGCCACACATTTCCCACCCTGGGGGGTGGGGGCAGGTTGCAGGGTGTCAGCTTGGGCTTTGTCTTCAGCTAGCCTTCTGCTCCATCATTCCCCGCCCTGAACAATTTTGACCCTTAAATCTTTAAGGTGGTTAGGTGGAAGGTGGTGAAAGTGGAAGGTCGCATGTTCTGTAACGTCTTCCTGCTGAATAGGGGCGTAGAGATGTCCCTACCTATGGGTCACTATTGGTCAGTTGGGGAACACATAGGGGAGTTACGAGAGGGCATTGTAGGGATGGAACCTCGACACCAAGCGGAGAGATACTGAAAAAGACAATGCATTAAGATTAGTGCTCCTAGTGTTCCGGAACCTGGACTGGATCGCCCGACGCAAGAACCAAGCAGCACTCGGAGATCTTGGAGGCTAGGAGGTTTATTTAACGCCCGCGGGCTCAGAGGAGAGTGGTCTCCGAAGGTCTGAGCCCCCAGCACAAAGGGGGCAATTTATACACTTCTACTTCCGCATACTTGGCACTTTTGGCGCATGTGCAAAGCGGGGCAGGGAAAAGAACCCGAATTGGTGCGAGCGGGAAGCTGAGCAGGGAGAAGAACCTGGAAGAGCCCCGGGGCAAGGACTGGGACTCTCCCACTGGCTCGGTCGGCCATCTTAGGACACAGATTTTCCTTATTCCCCCCTTTGATACCCCTTTAAACACCTAGTTTAGAGGTCACCATCTTCATCTTCTAAGGGGCGATAGTGAGTAAGGAGTAACTGGAGTCTGATTTTAGCAATTTGAGTAGTGATAAACCTAGTAAGGGCATTAAGAATACAAAAACCAAATGCTACTATGAGGAGAAGCAATAGGAGGGGGCCGACGAGGGGGGCGAACCAAGGGAACCATTGTGAGACGGTATCCCACCAAGTTGTCCGCTGGAGTTTTCCCACCGGTGATGTACTCGTTCCTGTAACTGGGTCAGAGTTTCTTGGACCACCCCAGCTCATTAGCATAGAAACAACATTCCTCCTGTAAGAAGAGGCAGAGCCCCCCTTGCGCAGCCGTGAGCAAGTCGAGCCCGTGCCTGTTTTGGAGGACCGAGGCCAGTAAAAGTGGAATCTTTGACCTTAGGTAGAGGGAGCCATTGTGGCTAACCCAGCAGCAGATGAAACCCATGGACAAGTAAGTGCAGTAATACAGCCTAGAGACACCCAATAAGCAATGACAATAGTAAGCTTCTGGGGGAAAGTCCAGTCAGGAGGGGCAACAGTGTAGAGTCTGACTCCCAAGACGAGGGCAATCACGCCGATGAGAGCCAGGGACCACGGTGAGCAGGCGTCCATCAGTCAGTGGGGTCTCATCGAAGGTGAAGCCGGAGTGGGTTTGTGAAGTCTGGCTGGACTCTCCACTGGCACGGCTTCTCGTCCAAATGATGAGCTTTCTTCACTCTGGAGTGGTGGACCCACGGGTGACACCTGAGACCTTGAGGGCAGTAGGGGCGGTTAGAACAACAGTGTGGGGCCCTGTCCACTGTGGTTTGAGGGGGTCTTTCTTCCAATCTTTGACCCAACTGAGTCCCCTGTCCGGAAGGAGTGCACCTGAGACCCAAAGGAGATTGGGGCCCTCTCAATGGTATACTTTTGTAATTTATTTAGGGTGGCCCCCAGGGCCTGAAGCTGCTCCTTTATCCCTTTATCTCCAACCTGATGCAAGTTTCCTGGAAGGCTTCCCAAGCAAGCATGGGGGAGGCTGTCCGTATATTAATTCAAATGGGGAGAAACCTGATGTCCCGGGCGTGCAGCGAGCACGCAGGAGAGCTAGGGGTAGTAGATCCGGCCATGGGAGGTTAGTCTCCTGACAAAACTTTGCTAAGGTTCCCTTGAGGGTGCGATTCATTTGCTCTACTTTCCCTGAACTTTGGGGCCGGTAAGTGGTGTCGAGTCTCTAGGTGATGTTGAGAGATCTGGTCAACACCTGCACAATGTCTGCCACAAATGTGGGTCCGCTGTCACTATGGATTGTCAATGGCAGGCTGAACCGGGGCACGATCTCCCGCAAGAGGACTTTAGCTACTTCCTGGCTTTGCTCCGTCCCGGTCGGGAAGGCTTTGACCCACCCAGAGTATGTGCATCTATTACTAGGAGATATCTGAACCCCCTGCTCGGCTGCACATCTGTGGAGTCTACCTCTAGATCTTCGAAGGGGGTTGCTCCCATCCTCCGGACACCTGGCGGGGGCCGTGGTGCAGACCGAGCATTATGTTTAGCACATGTTAGGCACCGTTCACTCGGTGCTCGGCCTAGTGCTGGCAGCGGACTGAGGCAGTGGTGCTTCTTGAGAAGGGCTCTAATGCAGTTTTCCCCAGATGAGTGAGTCGGTGGTGTTCCTTGACTAGATGCCCTCCAGTTGCTGTCGGAACAAAGATTCGTCCATCTGGCATCATCCACCATCCCTTTTCAGTCCGGGTGGCTCCCTCAGCCACGGCCTGTTCTTTTTCCTTTTCAGTGTTAACTGGGCGGGGGGACTTCTTCCGGGGGTGTCAGGGCCATGGTGAGGGAAGGGGCTCTGTCTGTGTCCTCACTGGCTGAGGTCTTGGCTGCCTCATCTGCCAGATGATTTCCCCGCGCTATGGGGTCATCTCCTTTCTGGTGTTCCTTACAGTGCAGGATTGCTGCTTCCTTTGGAAGCCAGACGGCTTCAAGGAGTCTCAGTATCTCCTCCTTGTTCTTGATAGTTTTTCCTGTGGCGGTTAGGAGGCCCCTTTCCTTGTAGGTGGCTCCGTGTATATGTACGTAGCGAAGGCGTGCCGAGAGTCAGTGTAGATGTTGACTCATTTGCCTTCACCAAGGGTGAGGGCTCGCACTAAGGCATATAATTCAGCCCGTTGAGCTGACCATCCAGCTGGTAATGCCTTAGCTTCTAGGACTTTAGTGGTTGTGGTTTATTCTTGGTAGGATAAAAGTTTTACATTTAGTGCTCATAACTTTAAAGGTCTATCTTAAACCAACAAACTTAAATATTGAATTATATTCCACCTGGGCCCACTCCATTTTCAGTTTTTACCTGAAACACTGGTGGGGAAATCTGGAGTGAGCGGTGTTAAGTCCAGGGAGTGCTCTTCTTGCTCCTTGATAGCGAGGGAAGGAGCCATGGTGCCTGAGGCACCGAGGATGGTCTGGAAGCCAGCTATGCAGAAGAAGAAGGGGGAGGGGGAGACAGAAGAGGCAAAGTGTTGCCAGAAGGCAGAGAAAGCGTTCCTGGTTCTAGAGCTCATCAGCTCCAACAGAGGCGCAGACGCCATGTTTTCCCTCCAACAAGAGGAAATAGGCTGTCCAAGTCAGGCCAGAGAAGACAGGGAACTTCCCCGAAACAAAGCGAGTTTCAGCAGCTGCTTGGGAATATTCCTTAAAGTCCCCGTCCTGAGGGAGACTAACCACAGTCTGCTCCAGTTATAGCCATTAACCCAAGCAATGAATGAGGGACAAGCCCCCACGTCTATTAGGAAGAACAGTGAGAGAGAGAGTGTCAAGCGTCCCCTTCGTCTGGAATGGCCCGTGTTTCCTCCAGCAACCTGGGTTTCCTCAGAGGAGGCCTGTTTATTTTATTTTATTTTTTTAAAGATTTTATTTATTTATTTGAGAGAGAGAGAGAATGAGAGACAAAGAGCACGAGAGGGAAGAGGGCAGAGGGAGAAGCAGACCCCC